CCAAAATATTTTTCTCCATTTAAGAAAAGTCCACACTTCATTTTTCAACAATTATGTTTTCCAGCTTTACCCCGCCCGCCACCTCATCGCTGAATCACGCGCGCTCAGCAATTTTTTTTTCCTTCCGTTTTTTAATCGACTATGAAACATAGTCGATTAGTCTTAATCAATGTTCTAAAAATCGGCCGAGGTGGCCGATTAATCGGTCTCCGAGGCGGAGGCGGTCCAAAACCTTTACGATTTTAGTTTAAAGGTTTGAAAAATCGGTTTTTTGCCCATGAGGCGGTTTTAGGCGATTTGAGGCAGTTTGAGGCGGTCAAACCTTTAAGGCGGGTCAAACTTCGGTGGCAAAAATCGGTCAAAAATCGGTTTTTTTTTTTTTTTTTTTTTTTTAATTCAAAGTAAAAGTTGGAATTTTAATAAAGAAATATGAGTTTATGCTTTATTTTGTTTATGTTAACTATTATTGTTAAAGAACTAATGATGTATGCGAGGAATGTATGTAAATTTAAAAAAAATGACTTTTATTTATAGTTTATAAGGGTATTTATGTATTATAATCTTATTATTATTAATATTTTATTATGTTATTAGGATATATATATATATATATGATGGAGATAAAACTATGTTTAAATATCTTTTTATCTATATTTTGAGTATTTATAAATAATACCTACAAATATTTTATATTAAATTTTAAAAATCGATTTATTTTCGATTTATCACCGCCACACCGATTAATCGTGAGTCGGTCCCTGACCGCCTCTGACCCGATTACCGCTTTTTACAACCTTGATCTTAATCGACTATGCTTCATAATCGATTAAGAAAATTCTTTAATTTTTAATTTTTTTTTTTGTTTTTAATTTTTTTTTTTATATCAGGTATATTAATTGACTATGATGAAACATAGTCGATTAAGAATCTGCTACTAAACATAACAAATTAAAACTGCGAAAAAATGCAAAATCAACTATATTTAAAAAAAAACAAAAAATATACAAACATGATAATTGATTTATATACTTGGAATCAATAAAAAAATTCAAAAAGAAAAAAGAAAAATTAACATTAATCGACTACCAGAGCATAGTCGATTAACTTAATCGACTATTGAACACGTACATAGTCGTTAAGCGTCCACATTGAATTATAAATTTTTGTGGTCATCATCATCTTCTTCTCTCACTACTTCTCATCCTGTCTCTGCGCACAAAATTCAACAAACTCTTCAAACAGTCAAATGACTCAACACACCCCATTCTCCAACCTCGAATCTCCCACCATCAATTCTCTCCGCCGCCCTTTTCCCCCAACCCTCAACTGCACTCTGACTTGCCTTCTTCAAATCCCATAAAACCCAGCAGATTTTGTATCCAACATCTGAAAGGCTCAGTTTCAGATCCACCCCATTTGGAATTGACCAGGAATCAGAAGCATGTACTTGTTGAGGTTGTGAGAACTGTGGTGGAATTATCTTCCGTTAGCACCCCTTCGACTCTCACGCACGACGGATCGCCGTTGGGGATCGACGTTCGCTTTGCGGTTGACTTAACCGAAACTCCTGGCCATTGCTTCAACGAGTTCGATACAAGGTTTTCTGTTGATAGGCGTCGACGGTTAGACTCTGTGCATTTCTTCATCTTGCGACGGCGGCGGCGGCGGCGGCGAGGAGAAGATTTGTCGGAGAAAAAAAAAAACAAGAAACAAAGAAGAAAGAACAGAGAATAGAGAAAAAGATAGAAACAAAAAACGAGAAAGGAAAATGGTAAATGAAAAATGAGATAGGGTTTTGAGAGAGTATATTGAACAATTAAGGGTAGTTTTGAAATTATGAAAATAGTATTTGGGTGGAATATTAAGAGCTTTTAGCAAGCGCTACCCCTGTGATAAGTCTAATTGCCGAAAAAACTCCTATGTAAAAACAATTAGCAATTACCCCCCTATGTTAACAAGTCAAAGGCACATGCCCCCTTATCCGCAAATCGTGTATTGCACGCGCAGTTTGTGCGGTTTGTGTTTGTTTTTATGATGTGAAAAGTCTTAAATACCCCTTGAAATTCTTTTCTTTTTAATAAATAAAAATCCAATTGAACTTAAATATAAATAATCAAAATTTTTGGATCCAATTGCAAATTTTAAACAATTCTTCAAAATCCCATTTTACTTTTCAAAGCCTGACCAAGTGCAACAGTGATGCCGCCTCCTTTCTTTCGTCACCGTCTCCATCTCTCCAGGCGGCGAGACCACCAGATGAGTCATCTCCGCCGGCGCCGCCGTCATCGCCGCCATCCGGCAGATACGGTGTCGCCACCAAGCACGAGGCATGGTGCCACCAATCATTCTTTTCTCCAATTACATTATGCCAATAGAAACTTCAGATCTGCCTTTCTTTGTCAGGGATTTCCAAAGGGTTTTTTTTGCTGTAAAAACTCTATATTCAAACCGGTATGAATCCTAGAGATTCAAGAGTACATGTTTCTTCAACTGCCGTTCCTCTTTCTTTTTTTCCTCTTAGAATTGATGAAATGAAAATAGAGGGTAAATAATTGATTTTTTAAAAAATTAATGGTTGGCATGGGGCAATGGTGGAGATAGCAGTGTATATATCGGTGGTGATTGAAGAGATCAAATCAATGGCGGAGACTCTCGTTTTTTCAAGAAACACCGTGTATGTTGCAGGTTGGTGTTGTTGTTTGCAACTTGGGGATTTCATCGGGGCTGAGGACTATGTTCTTGAAGTGAAATAAGCTGGTGGGCGTTTCCGATTTGCAGCGGCAATGGCGGAGGTTGTGGTGAGAGATGAAGAAGATGATGACGTGTTTTTACCTGTTTTTTTTTAAGTATTATCTGTATTTCTAATGAAGGGTAATTTAGACATTTGATGTAAGTCAACGGGATTATTTCGGATAGGGAGCCGTGGGCTAAATAAAACTCATTATAGGGGGGTCAATGCTAATTGTTTTAACATAGGGACTTTTCTGGTAATTAGACATTTCACAGGGGGGTCTGTGCAATTAACTCGGAATATTAACTAAGGAGTTTTCTCTAATTATTTTTAAGAGAGAGTGTTTTCTTAACTACATTTCGTAGATGAGGGAGGTCTTGCTAATAATCCAATATATTATATGATACACACACTCAGTGTGTGTTTGAGTGTTTGCCTTGTCCACTCAATAATATATATACTTAGAGCATATATATTATATATATGCTCTAAGTACTTAGAGCATCCACAATGGGCTCTCCAAAGGTGTTTTTAGTGTCAGAATTTAGTGGCTCTCCAAAATTTGGGGAATGAAGGGTGCTGCAGTGGAACATTAATAGGCTCTTTATGCCTCTCTAAAATTTGGGATTTGTCAAGTGGCTCTCCACAGATAGGAGCCACTTAACAATGTATTGTGGGACCATGTGGTTTCTTTATTATTTTCTTACGTTTTTCAACTCTTACTTGGTTTCTTTTTTATATTTTTTAATTTTTATTTATGTATATGAATGAAATCATTTATTGCCATTATTTTATTTATAAATAAAAATTATGTATTACATCCATTGATTTCTATATATCCATTGTACTAAAAAAATGTAAATAAAAAATATTTTGTACATAAAAAATATTTTCTATTAAATCTGTATTTATGTTTTGCCTATTGTGGGAGAGGTCTTCTAACAATTTTATTCCGACTCATTTATAATATTTTATGTTATTCATATTTATGTTAATTTATGTTACTTGTAAATATTTTAGATTTTGTAAATACAATTTATATATTGAGTAAAAAGCAGTTTGCCCCCTAAACTATGGGCCGATTTGCACTTTAGCCCCCAAACAAAAAAAATTTGCACGTTTTTACCTGAACTCATTAATTCGTTGCACGGTGCCCCCTGAACTAATTTTTCCGGCAATTTTGACCGGAAAGTTAAAACATGTGCCTTGCACGTGACATTTGCAAGGCTATATTCGTCCATTCACTTGCATCTTTTATATTAAATATAAATTATTCTTTAAAAAAAAATTAAAAATTAAAACAAAAGAAAGAAAACAAAAAATAAAAAAATATTTTGTATTTTTCAACTTCTTATGAGCGGCGACTTTGAGCAGCGCCTTACAACCCTTGACGGAGTCCGGCAGCAGAAACTCCGACGAGGAAGAAAACCCCAGCCCCTCCAGCGTGGCGGCGCTTATTGAATCCGTCATCGCCAGTATCGACCCGGAGACCACCATCGCCTCCACCATCTCCGGGTACATCTCCGCCATCTTGAACGCCACCATTCCGCCGTAGCTGAACCCCACCACCGCGCACCTCTCTACTCCCAGCTTCCTCAGCCCCTTCGCCAGGCACTCCGCCTGAAACGCCGGCAACCTGTCCGGGTTATCCGTGATCGACCCGCCGAAGAAGAGCAGGTCCGGCAACGAACTCACCTGGAACCCACCTGGAACTGCCACGTCACTATTCCCTCGGCGGTGAAGCCGTGTACGAGGACGACTACCGGCTTCGTGGGCTTTGCTGTTTTGCAGCCGCCGTCGTCGGCGGCGGCGGTGGTTTTCTTTGAACTGGTTTTGAGTTTCTTGATTGTTTCGGAAGGGACCCAGATGCTCATAACGGTGCCGGGACAGATTTCGACAGTGTGTGGTGTAATTCCGGCCATCTTCATCAGCCCATTCAATAGTGGTTTTTGTGCTGCCACAAGATTCACCATTTTCTTTTTTTCTGTTTTTTTTAATTATTATTATTTTATTATTTTTCCTGATTTCTCTGAGTGTGTGAAATTTTGGTGATCAAATGGGGAATTTAAAGTAGTTGAAAAATAGAGAGTTGGTGTTGGGTTGTTATCTGTTGTTCCAATTGAAAAAACATGGATTAAAATATGGGTTGGTGGCGATTGTGCTGAAATTCTCCATTGATGAAGTCCTGAAGCAGGACCGGACTCTGATGAGCTGTGTGTGTGTGTGGGAGGGGAAAGAGAGAGAGAGAGAGGGGGGTGGCGGACGGGAAGAAGGAAGACAATATTTTTTTATTTTTTGTTTTTCTTGTTTTGTTTTTATTTATTTTTTGGTTTTTTAAAGATTATTTTATATTTAATATACAATATTTAAGTGAATTGACGAATATATCCCTACGAATGTCACGTGCAAGGCACATGTTTTAACTTTCCGGACAAAATTACCGGAAAATTGAGTTTAGGGGGCACCGTGCAACAAATTAACGAGTTCAGGTAAAAACGTGCAAATTTTTTTTGTTTAGGGGGTAAAGTGCAAATCGGCCCATAGTTTAGGGGGTAAACTGCTTTTTACTCTTATATATTTATAGAAATAGACAAAAATAAATAATTCACAACATAGTTAAAAAAATATTTTAATTAGGGAAAATAGTTTAATTCAAAAATTAATATAAATTTATGATGATTATATATTTTACCAATTAAATATAAAAAATAAAAATATAATTTCATAATTATTATATTTATGATGAATATTTTATTAGAATTTAATATTTAGGGAACCATTCTAGGGAGGAAGAAAACCAACTCATTGGAGTAGTTTGAAACTTGAAGAGTGTTTAAGTGGGACCCATTGTTTAAGAGGAATTTAAATGTGTAGGTGGCATGTGGGACCCACATTTTGGGGAGGGGTTTTAGAGAGGAGTAGTGTGGATGCTCTTATAGTTTGACCAATACCTTTTAATAAATGTTGCATTTAATGCTCAATTATCTTTTCTTTTTCCCAACCAACCAACTGGGTGCACTGAGTAAATCTACACTCTTACATAATATCTTCAAAATCATTCGAGAGACATAAACCGCAGAGGAATTCAAATTTGGGTCAATTGCACAAACTTAATTGCTCCAACTGAGTTAGAGACATACAATTATATTAGCTATAACTAGTTGAGTTATTGAGGCAATTGGTTGACTTTGATCTGATTTTCGATGTAGCTGACTCAACTGAGATAGAGACATACAAACGGCGACAAATTTGACAAAACTGAGATACTTAATGTAAACTAACGAGGGTTTTCCTTAATTTTTTTAATAGCGTTAAATACACTTTGTATTCCAAATATAACTTGTATGTTTTTCAAGTGTCTCTCAAATGGCCAATTAGCTCTCTCCTGGTCCTCATCTTTACATCCATTTTCTTCGTGATTCGATTCCGGTTTTGTCCGGAGAATAGAATATATCTTCGTTTTCGTCCTCCATTTTTACTTCCATCTAGGCAGGATTTTGATGGAAAGAGCAGAATTGTTTATCTACTTTTGCAAGTTGCCAACTAAATTATTGAAATTGCTATTATATTGTAGTTTACAAACATTATTTGAAGCTATAATAAAAAATGCATTAGTGACATAAAAAATTCTTATATTAAATGCCAATATTGTATGTATGTTGTCACTAATTCACTCTTTCTTGTGATTACATTGAATTAGTAATATAGCTATAAATACAGCCGCAATATTTTGATGAAAACATATAGAGATATGATAAAAAGTGTCGTTACTATAAAAATTATTTATTGCGTTGGAGAACAGGTTTATGTTGTACTATACCGAGTGAAATATATTGAGTAGATTTTTATCATTCATCTATACACAAACATAACATATATAATAATTGGACCGCGACTAATAATATATCAAGATCAATCTAACTTAACAAACGAGATCGAACGAATTGCAGCTAACGTCTTATAACTCCATCTAATTCAATAAAAGAAACCACGCAAATTGTATCGGGTTTTGGAAAATTTCCAATTTTTTTCTTTTGAGTAGAAAAAAATAGAAAATCATTTTTTTTTGAAAATTATAATGGAAAATCTGTTTTAAAAGTGGAAATTTTTGGGTAGGTACCGGTGGGATTAAAAAGTTCCTCTTATTTATCCAACTAAATAAAAATAGATACAGTACCTTAGATAAATTGATAATATCACTTAAATAATAATTTACCTCGGTTACGACTTGGTGACAATGTGCTAAATTATTAACTCGATAATTTAATATTCTAGTAAATTAATAAATTTTTGCTAGTTCCAATTGTATTAATATACATTGAATTAAAATAATATATATTATAATCTTAACATATTTCAAAAATAAAAATAATTTATACATGCATGATTCATCCATGTATAAATTAAATTACATTATTATAACTGAATAATAATAGAACTTCACATACTAATATAATATGCATTTCTCATCTCATATCCAACATTTATTTAAATATTTCTCAGGCTTGGAGGAGAAGCAAGAATTAAGTACTGTCTTGAATTGGAACTAGCTTCAGTTTACCTCCATAAATATCTGGAAGCTGGCTTTCATTTATCTCTTCAAGTAGAGCCTCACGCAGTTTCTTGCTCTCGATGAATACGAACTGTAATTTTTTTTTAATCAAAAAACACGCATCGTAAAAAAAATCATGCCAGGTTAGTATAACATGTTTGAAAATCGAGCGGAAGAAAAAAATCGACTATTTATATGGTAGTCATAACTACTTTGTTTTTTCGAAATAATGTTGGTTAAATTATAGTTGAAATTCTATAAGGTTGCGCAGAAAAGAGAATTTAGGTACATACTACAAAAGGCCCATATTACTGTATATATCCAATTCTTTAAATCTTTCTTAGACCTTTAAAATCTCAGGAACGGCCCCACATATATATTATATACCTTCTTCTTAGTATTTTTGTCGATAAATGGGTAAATAATCTTCCACACTGTCATGAAGATGTAAGGTACGTGGATCATGAACACTTTGCCGAGTCTTTCTGGATAGTATTCCTGTGATTAAAATGATAATCGGATCATTCTTATTTAATTTGACGTCTACTTAAATAACACGAACTAATAATAATTAGTTGAACGAACCTGTAAAATTGAAAGGATTGCAGTGTATCCACGAACATCGCTATTAGAATAACCATACCCTTGTAGATCTACGATAATCGTTAACTTTTCTTGTCCGTCAGGAATCCTGATATATTGCATTAAGAAATTGTAATTAATGTCCTCTTATGTGAAATTTCAAATTATAATACAATTAAATGCATTAACATGTACATACCACTATAAAAATTCTTACTTTAAGTGTAGAAATCGGATGGATCGGATCAAAATTAACATTTTTATAAAAGAAATATAATTTTTCAAAGTATAAAAATTGCATTTGGATTTGGAAACTAGTTGAAAAGGTTTGGAAATCATGTAACTCTTTTTAATTATTGGAAATTTTCAGAAATATATATTTTCCATATATAATGTAATATTATCGTTATGATTATAAATGTAATCATAAACAAATCGGAATTATTTTGAAAATCGAAATTGGGTCGAGAAGTAATTTTGCGTATAATCCCGATCCAACTCTGTCCATTTTTAATAGTCAGAAATTCGGATATCGGAAATGAGAATGAAAAATTCCATTTCCGATATCCTTATTTTTGACCGATAATTTTATCCGACTTCTTTGCTGTTATACGATTTACTTTCTTACCGGGGTTAAACTAGTATCCAAATACATTTTCAAGAAAATAAAATTTAAAAGGTTTAGTAAAAAATCCGAAACAAAATACGGTACCTCGAACATAGTTTATCGAAAGCAAACACCACCAAACCTGAAAATATTTAAGTAGAATATTGTGTGAGAAAATTCAAGAAATATTTTTTCGTTTGCGACAAAAGAGAATTAAACGAACGTTTGAGTTCTTCCGTTCCTCCTTTGCTGGGAAAATGCTTAGCACCAAAAACAACCAGGACTGGACACCCTCTCGTATCCGTTCCTTGCATATATATCTTATTGTCGTTTAATTGATTTATGATCTCCGATACTGAAATCGAACCCTTCGGGACAAAACTTCGCCTCCAAGTCAAGTACTTGATGAACATTCTAGAAGCTTTCTCCACATCAAGATCACGTGCACGTAGAAATCGCCTCAATGTTAGATCATCTATTTCCTGCAAACCATTGTCACCAATCATCATATGAAATACTCCCTTCTTTCCAATTTAAATGTTGTTTTGGATTGTTGCGCATATATTAAGAAAATCAATGAATCTGCATAGATTATAGTGAAAAACATAAAAAAATATCTAAAATAACCTTGACATTATTTTTTTCCCAATTTAGTAGTAATTAAGAGTGATAAAGAGCAAAATTAAAAATAATGCAATTAATTTTTCACTGAAAATCTAAAATGACAAATAATATGAAACAGAGGAAGTATATAAATATATATGTGAAATTCAAGATTTTTATATATATACCTTACAAGATGGATCTTGCTTTTCAAGTGTGGCTCTTAAATGGCTAAGCATTGTCTTCTCATCCTCGTCGTTGCGTCCATTTTCTTCGTTGTCACTTGCTTCCATATTTTCAGGAGAATAAAATATATCTTCTTCTTCTTCTTCCTTCATTCTTCTATCCATCTTGGATTAAATTATGAAGCAGTATTTTGATGGAAATAGGTAGCAGGATTATTTCTCTGTTTTATACTTGTGCAAGTTGCCATCTAATTAAATTAAAAGTTGCTCTTGTAGTTTAGAGCATTTGAAGCTAAGCTCTTAATGAATACAGCTCAAAGTTTGGCGAAAATGGTCCACATTATTCAATGCATAATTGGCTTTAGCAATGACGGAGCCAATCAGTCAGTATAGAGTCAAGGGGGGGCGTATGCCCTCAATATTTCTCAAATTTTTATTATTTTAATACATTCGGGCCCCGCAGAGTTTTAATCTTGGCTCCGCTAGTCGCATGTAGATCAAATATAGGTGCTACAAGGAAAAGTAGCATTAGTGATATAAACCATATAAATAATTAGCATGGGATAACTTAATTACAAGTGACAATATTTTCGTGTTTTGTATCTTCTTACTAAATCACTCTTTGTTGTCATTATATTGAATTAGGAATAAGACTATAGTCACAGCATTATGATAAAATTGAAAAATATATTATAAAGTGTTGTCACTATACACTTATTTATTATAGTGGACCTTAGATAGTAATATATCAAGATCAATCAAGTCTATGAAACAAGGTCTTATACTTTATAAATTTGAGGCTAACTTCAATCGATAAAACTAGGGGTAGAAATCGGATTTCAGAAGTAAAAAATCAAATAAATGTGCAAGTGAAAACTTAGTTCTAATTCGATTTCGGAAAACCCAAAAATTTTAATTTTAGAAACTGCAATGAAAAAAAATGTTGTAGATTCTGCAATTTATGGAACAAGGACAGGTCGGTGAATTTGAAAATTCCGGTCTCCTTGTTCACTTTAAATAAAAATACGTAACACTGTAGATACTATAAGTCTCGTTTTCAGAAAAACCGTATCGAAATTTCATATTATCATTCCAATTTCGATAAAAGAAATGAAAAAAATTGGACGAAAGCCGGGAGAAGATTTATTTAATTGCATTGGTAATGTGACCAAATAATATATGGTCATATATGTACCCGGTGGCCCTAAAGTTTGGCCCCTAAAGCAAATGTGTTTTAGAAGAAACTTCATTTATCAACATTCGTTGTCAATGAAAAGAATAGTTATGATTTACCTAACTAAGCAGGAAGTTATCACTTTCATCTTATCCAAATATTATATTTGTTCCGTAATATCTGTCACTTTAGATAAATATTTGTGTTTCGTATTATCTGTCACGTTAGAAATTTAAATACTGCATAATGAATTTTTTTCTTGATTTACCCATGATTATTCAACTCCAATATTAATTCTCTCTATCACATCATTAAATTATCAAGGTTATTTTAGTCTTTTTTTAATATATTTTTTTTCCTAAAATCAATAAACATTTATTGAAATTCTTAATACTTGTCCAAAGCTAAAAAACGACTGCTCCCTCTATTACTAATTACTTGTCGTTTTTCAGCTTTGCACAAGTATTAAGAATATCAATAGATATGTATTGATTTTAGGAAAAAAACACATTACAAAAGACTAAAGTTACCTTGATCAAAGAGAGTTAATATTAAAACATAAAAAATGCATATAATGCAGTATTGAAAATGTAAAGTGATAGATAATATGAAACACAAATATTTAGGAGAAAAAAACAGTTATTATGGAACAAAGATAATAATTGTTCAGAAACAAAGAGAGTAACTATTTATACGAGGTCTTAAAAATGAACATGCCTGAACATTTAGTTACCTTGTTCATTAATTTATTTAGACCAGTCTAATTTGTTGTTCCCATGTGCCTTGATGCATAGTGTATTGCGGTAGTGACTAAGTAGTCAAGGCAACAATTTAGGCTCTTTATTCTATATCAATGTTCCTTGAATCTATCTGAACACCGATTCGATGAACACCCGTCTCTTATGGATTATGTCACTCCGGTTTCATGATTTGGGGCTTCACATAATTCATCTAATTATTAACAAGACTCAAAACATAATCATTAGTTAGTTCAACCAATTGTTTTCAAATTATTGCATTCGAAGTGAGTTTTTTCGGCTAACAGTATTTATAACACTTGCGAAGTTAGGGACGTAATTTTATTAGATAAAATCAATCTCAAAATTAAATAAAATCCATTTTTTTAGGGTTTTGAAACGACGTCGGATTGCTGAAATGCGATGTAGATCACGAGCAACATTTGTGAGTATTAATCCTTGAGCATGCTTAAGTAGAATTTTATTTAATTGCTCAAATAGTTTAAATTTCAAAATAAGCAGAAACTCTAACTACAAGGACCCAAGTGCAATTTCTATAAACTTGATTTACCCACCCTTTTAACTTTTTTTTTTCACCACAACTTTTCACCGTTAAGCCAACCCCCAATATAATGCCCTAATTTTGAAATCTAATACCCGCCAAATTTTGATGAAAGGTACTTTTGCTCGTGCGTGGTTATTGTTGGTCTAGAAATCTGTATTTTTTTGTATAATGGAACTATAAAAGATGGTGGGAAATGAAAAAAAGTGACAAAATCAAGACCCTCTGTCGATTATCAAAGTCGAGATTGCAAAATCGGATCGTGAAATCGTAGGATTTCGCAACTAGTCTTGTAGATTTGAATAGTACTGTTACGAACATTGTAACAAACACGATTGTAGTATTGTTACCTTGCGTAGTATCTCTTCATCGTGTCGCGTCGCATATACATTTGCACGTATTAGTAAAACGAAACGCGAGATGCAGCACCAAACGCAATACAAAATTCCTGAATGAATCAAACGTTTTATTCATGTAGATGTTACAAATATGGTATAATAAAATATCATTTTTTCATCTCATATCGGGAATAAACGGCCTTATTTCCCCGTTAATTATGTGTGTTGTAGTAACCTTGCAACTAGGCATCTTGAATTGGAACTAGCTTCAATTTTCCTCCGTAAATCTCGGGAAGCTGGCTTTCATTTATCTCTTCAAGCAGAGTTGCATGCAGTCTCTTGTTTTCGATAAATATGACCTGTTTTCAATCGAAACAAACCTCTTCGTACAACGTGTCTGAAAATCAAGAAAAAAATAAATAAATAAATAAATAAAAGATCCTATACCTTCTTCTTAGTATTTTTGTCGATAAACGGATAAACAATCTTCCACAGCGTGGAGAAGATGTAAGGTACGTGGATGAAGAACAATTTCCCGAGTCTTTCGGGGTAGTAATCCTGTAAAGTCGAGAGTGCTGCTAGGCATCCACGAACATCGCTGTTAGCATAACCGTAGCCTTTCAGATCGGCAATAACTGTGAACTTTTCTTGTCCATCGGGCATCCTGATATATATACACATCAACAAACGGCCATCAGAATCGGGATTTGTAAAAACAATCCCGATGTTCAATTGAATAGTAGAATATGGTACCTTGAACATAATTTGTCCAAAACAAACACCACAGCACCTGAAATGTATGAAATATATACAGTTAAACCTCTATAAATTAATACAGTCGGGACTAGCAAAATTCTATTAATTTAGCGAAATATTAAATTATCGAACTAATAATTTAGTAGGTTTTAAACCGAGTCGAGACATGAAGAAACTATTATCTAAGCGAGGTTATTAATTTATCGAGGTTCTACTGTATATAACTTGTGAGAAATTGAATTATCAGAAACATTAAAAAAGCATCGATTTTTTTTTTTTTTGAAAAACGCACGTTTGAGTTCGTCGGTTCCTCCTTTAGTGGCAAAATGTCTACCGCCAAAGAAAACTGCGATTGGACGCCCTTTTTTATCCATTCCTTGCATAAACATTTTATTTTGTCCCATATGATTTTTGATCTCCGATAATGAAATCGAGCCATTCGGGACGAAACTTCGCCTCCAAGCCAAGTACTTGATGAACATTGTAGATGCTTTCTCCACATCGAGATCACGTGCACGGAGAAAACGTCTCAATGCTTGATCATCTATTTCCTGCAAGCCATTTCAATCATATGATATTATTTTGCGAAATGTGAAACCATTTTAATTACCGAAAATCGAAAATCAATTATATTTACCTTACAAGCTGGATCTTGCTTTTCGAGTGTGGCTCTCAAACGGCCAAGCTTTCGCTTCTCCTCGTCGTCGTCGTTGCATCCGTTTATTTCGTGTTTCTCTTGAATTCTTTCGGGAGAATAAAATATATCTTCTTCTTCGTTTTCAGCCTTGAGTTTTCCCTCCATCTGGGATTTAATTTTGAAGCAAAAGGTTTGATGGAAATAAAAGAGTTTCCTTCTCTGCTTTTTATAGCTCTATACTTCAACTAGTTGCCGACTAAACTTAACTTGCCTTTATGGTTTAATTTAAGAGATTTAAGGCTAACTTTAATGAACACGAAAATCGGATGAGCCGGACCGGAATTAGTATTTTTCGGATTGATTCAATTTTTTGGGAAATGGAAAACTATTTTCACTACTATTCCAAAATATGATGGGAAAATTCATTCTAAAAATTAAAAATAAAAAAAAAATAATTTGATTTTTGGGAATCAGAATGAAAAAAGATTGTTCAAAAATTTGAAACATTTGGGTTGAAATTGGTGAAATGGAGAAAAAAAAAATTCCACATACAATTTAAAATACATAATATTGACATTAAATTTTGGAAAACAATTCAAAATTAAAATTTTAGAAACTAAACTCAGATCGGAATCAAAATCTCATAAATAATTCCAACCTCGGTGAGAAAAATAAATCTGAAAAATAGGGAAAATTTTGATGAAAAATCTTGTTCCAAAGTCGGAAATTTTTGGAGCGGAATTGAATTCAATTTTTATTTTTATTTTTTTTAAATTAAAATCGGATTGAGAATCGGAATATCATATATATAATTCCGATCCCAATCCAAAATATTTATGTGTATGAAATAATTTTTTGGGTCAGTTGACACAAGTTCACTTGTTCCAGCCGCTAGGTCATTCCTTACGGAACAATTAAATTAATTATTTGAATAATGTGAAATTGGTACATGCATGCTTAGTTATTACACTATAAATGTTGGGAAATTAATTTTCATCGAACCACATTTTCTTGTCTAGTTAGATAGATATATATAGAGTCAGCTTAATTGCTTACCAGCAAAACTACCTTAATTCAGTAATCACTCCCTTTCACTACTCATAAAAAGAAACCAAACAAGAATTTTCAAAACCAAAGTTAAAATATAAAAAAAAATGATTTTTTTTTCCAACCAATTTATTTTGGATCGAACGATTTGGAATGAACGAATTTGAAACAAGTGCGCATCGGAGGATTTGAAATAACTCCAAATGAGAAAGATATTTGAAATCCACCACAATCACTCGAAAAACAGCTAAAAATACGACTTAAGTTCGATGATAGGTGCATTGAGTAAACTTACACTCTCGTATAATAGCTTGCAGTTGGATTATTTCTCCAAATATTTAGTTGTATCTCGGGGTGAAATTAGAACAAAATGTCCGAATTTGATTAATACAGAAAATTCATGGCTTATCATTTCAATTTCCGAAATTCAAATTCTCTTACCAACAGTTGTTAAATCGTACTTGTCACACATGGTTAGTCTAATGTAATTTACGTCTCTCTTGTAAATTACAAGCTTATGAAAATGTAAGTATACTCAATGTATCTATATGATTGGTTGACCGATGTAATTTAATTACTTTACATAAAACTCCTATTTAGAAATCACCCATTCAGACAATCTCTTAGACTATCCTTATTAGATTTATCTTTATTTTGTAGAAGATTGTCATCAAACAAAAAACAACATTTTCTTGGAACTTGTTTTTAAATATCTTAATTATGACTTCACGTGTTCCATAATATCTATCTCTTTTGAAAATTTCTTTTTTCCATATTATATGTTACTTTATAATTTCAATGTTGCATTGATATATTACACATTTTCAATTATATTTTTATTAACTCTCCAACACTATTTCTACATTAATTAGTAAAGAAGGGTATTTTGATCTATCAATATCTATTTTTCTAAAAAGACATTGAGATTTTTAAAAGTTGTTGAAACATGACACCTATTTGAAAAACGAATGGGTATTTTCTTGGACAATCGTTTGTATTACCCCGCGTAATTTGGAATTAATGTGGCACTACAAGATGGTATGTAAATATGATAGAAAAAACAATTGAAAATCATTTTTTTTTGAATGTCTTAAATACCCTTTAATTATTCTAACTATTTTGCACAATTAATTTATCTTATTTTGCACAAATTGTTCTTTAATCTTATTTTGTCTATTCCTTTTTATAACGCCCCAAAAAGAGTTTGTAACAATTTCCCTTCTTGTAATATATGTATAAAGAATATCAAATTTTACATTAATCCCAAAGTAGTACAAATTGCTCACCTCATAAATAAAAAAAAAAAAAAAAAAAAAAAATCTCACAATTACAAAATTACAATTGTGATATTTTGATAGTAGTATGATAATTGTGTGCCCTCCGCCGTAAGAGGAAGAACGTTTACACATGGGTATATTTGTAATCTTACAGCTAACAAGAAAATTTTCGTAATTTCAGCATACTTCAAGGGATTATTCACATATAAGTTCATATTTTATAAATGGCCTCGAAGATAAATATATATATATATATATATATATATATATATATATATATATATATATATCCATCCATATAAATATTTGTATAAATTGATAGAGATCAAGTATCGTCAGCTAGCCATCTTGAATGGGAACCAAATCCAGTTTACCTCCGTAAATCTCCGGAAGTTGGTTTTCGTCTATCTCTTCTACGAAAGTCGCATGCATTCTCTCTTTTTCGACAAATACAACCTATTTATTAAATTCATGCAAGTTTATAGTAACATATTTCAAAAAATTACATGGAGAAAATAAAATTGAATTTTTTTTTTTTGTATTATTTGTTTTTAGTACCTTCTTGGTTGTTTTTTTGTCGATGAATGGACAGATGATTTTCCAGAAGGCCATGAAGATGTAAGGTACATGGATTACAAACAATTTCCTCAATCTTTCTGGGTAGTAATCCTGTCATTAATAAATAAAATATACATTATTGGCTCTGCTTCGGAACCCCGAAAATATTTAATCTACGTACCTTTAGTCGTTTTTTACTGAAAAAAAACTAATTATTGGAACCTGTAAAATAGAAAATGCTGTAATATATCCACGAGCGTCGTTGTTGGAGTAACCATAGCCTTGTAGATCTGCAATAATCGTGAACTTTTCCTCTCCGTCGGGGATCCTGATTTATTATGCATCAACCAATATATTGAGTGCAATAAGAGATGTAATGTAACATCAAATTGCAATTAGATTTGAAATCGGACGGATCGGATCAAAATTAGTAATTAAAAAAATGATTTTTTTCGGAAGTAAATGATATCCCAATATTTTGAAATCCAAAACTTCATCCCGATTGAAAACTATAGAAGTTATGTAACTCATAATTTTTGTAAACCAAAATCGGGTCCATAAATAGAGTTTTCAATAATTTAATATATAAATTTCGATCCCAATCTAAAAAATAAAATAAAAAATCACTGAAATTCAGAAATTCTGTTTCGATTTCTAATTTTCTCATTTTCTGCAAGATTAAGTTTTCAAATATTTCTTCAAGAAAATACAAGTTAAAGAAATGGCACAAAAAAACAGAGTAAAAAAACATACCTCGAACATAGTTTATCCAAAAAAAACAACACACAAAACTGAAATATATAGCTCGAATGTGTGAGAAAAAGATAGATATTTTTAAATAAATAAACAAAAAAAACACGCACAAAATACGCACGTTTGAGTTCATCATTTCCTCCTTTACTGGGAAAATGTCTACCACCGAAGAAAATCGAGAGCGGACACCCTCTCTTATCTTTTCCTTGCATAAACATCTTATTTATTCCGATATGATTTGTGACCTCCGATTGTGAAATCGAACCCTTAGGTACGAAACTTCGCCTCCAAGTCAAGTACTTGATGAACATTCTAGACGCTTTCTCCGCATCAAGATCACGTGCACGTAGAAATCGCCTCAACGTCAAATCATCTACATCCTGCATACCATTTCAATTTTAAATCATATGAAAATATATATGTGTGAACAAATTAAAGAATTCTTTATTTTCTTTTTCTTCTAGGCCATATATTATAGGTACATACTATATATATATACCTTACAAGATGGATCTTGCTTATCAAGAATGGCTCTCAAATAGCCAAGCTTTATATTCTCATCTTCGTCATTCACTTCGATTATTCTTTCCGGAGAATAAAATATTTCTTCTTCTTCCTCCACCTTCGTTTTTCTCTCCATCTTGGCAATATTTTGATGGAAGTATTGGGATTTGTTTCTCACTCTACTTTATAGCTTTAAGTTGTGCATAAGTTGCCAACTAAACTTTAGTTTTCGTTCTGTTATATGTTTGGTAAGTTTGATTTGATGTATTGCTAATCACGAAGACGAGTTTTTAGTATGATAGTATGACATGTACCTATTGTTTATTAATTGATAATGAAACAAGCTACGAGAGTTCGATATGGCATACTTATAAGTTACAGAGCTTAGTGAGAGAATAATCACTTTTTGACTGAAAATACTTTATTATCCCCTGATTCATCCATCCTCAAAATCACATCCACTATAAAAAAATAGAGTTTCTTCCACTCTCCCGCACCTTCGCACCAATCCCATGTCGTTGACGGACTAATTTCCGCCACAACATCGTCGGAAAAAGGTTATGTTCATCTAAATAGTCTATTTTCAGTCCAAATTCTGCAACAAAGCTATCCATTTTCAGTCAAAAAATTTCAACTAAATTGTCTACTTTCAGTATGAACGGTCTATTTTCAATTTAAAGTTGTCCAACTAAGCTGCTCGATGGACTTCTAGCAGATTTAAGTTATACGGTCGAAATGTTAGCTATACAATTTTTTTTTTTTAGTAAAGCTATTACAAATTACAAAATATTATTAAGGAAGTTTTAGCGAATTCTCCCTTTTAATACATGTGACCAAATACAGTTATAGAGGGATTTCGCCTTTAGGTGCAAGGTATTAGTACATATTAATATTTTAGGCAAGCTTAATTAATAGATCTCAAGATTTTGAAAAAAAGAAAATATGGTCCAGGCAGGCAGAAAATTAATGGCAATGCATCAATCAAAACCAAATAATTTGGTCATGGACTTGGTGGCCTTAAAGTCTTGATAATTTTCATTTTTGTAACTTTGGTTTAGAAAACAATTTGTAAATAATATTTGGAGTAATATTTACTTATTTCTAAGAATCGAGGTTATTTGCAAATATCTTGAAAATCATATGAAGTAACGGTCGCACTGATGCCCGATCAATTAAATGAAATAATATTTCACTATAGATTTGCACAGTATCACACACACATAGATATGAATGTTTGCGAAAGTGACTTGCTTTTTACGGTTTGAAAATTGCTATTTACGGTTCATAACAAAAACACTTTATCTTTCTAAAACCCCAAAACTTTCCAAAAAAATCCAAAAACCCCCAGAACGCGTAAAAGCCCAACTTGGGCGCCCGAGCCGGGCGTCCAGTGCAAAAAAAAATTTTAATTGAACGCCCATCTTGGGCGTTCCAACATGTTTTTGCGAAAAAAAAAAAGCCCTACAAATCGATTTGTAGGGCTTTTTAACGTTCATTGGTTCCGTAATCGACCTACCCATTGCATATTACACAGAAAATAGTCGAAATTACCTCAAAAAATCGAAGCCCAACCCTTCTTCAAGCTTGATTTCGAATTTTCGAATTTTTTTTTTGCTATTTGCAGTTTGGGTGGTTTTTGGGTTTTTGGAAGGTTTTGGGGTTTTAGAGATATAAAGTGTTTTTTGTTATAAACCGTAAAAACATTTCATTTGTAAAATAAAAAATTATCATTATAAGTATACGATAAAATTTAGGGGCATGCTAAATCCCACACTAAAATTTACTAAATCCCACACATAAATTAAAAAAAAAAATCTCTCTCTACTTGTACTCACTCTAACTTTTTTCTATGATGATTTTTTTCCAAGTCATTCAAAATTCGTTAATCTTTCACGTGAGTAATCATAAAAAGTGAGTTTAGGTTTATTTAATATTTTTCAATTTCATTATGCCTTTTTAATTATTTAAATTCATATCAATTCGAATTTTTTTCTCAAATCCAACTTTATTTTAGTTTGAACACATGAAGATTTTTCTCAAATTCGAACTTGGAATGATATGAACGTTTTTAGTGTGTGATTTTGTGAAAAAAATAGGGAAAAAGAAGAAGGGTGGGGAAGGAGAAGATGAGATTTTAGAGAGATAAAAAATTTCAATTGTGTGTATGATTTGGTAAAATTGGTAAAATTTATATTAGGATAAAATTCATCAAAAGTAAAATACAAACAAATGGTGAGATTACCTTAATGATCAACTTCCAAGAGGGGGAAGTGCATAAATGTCTTGCAACTATTTCTCTTTTAAGAAAAGATTGTTCTAAAATTTACCACCAAAATAAATAGTCGGGTAAATTACAACTACCTCCCTCCCTGAATTAAAATTTAATTACTAAAATACCCTTCATATTTGAGAAATCACATTCAACCCCCTGCAATTTATAAGTTTCTTACATCCACACCCTATAAAATGACGTTAATGTAAAAAATCTAATAATTACCAGGGGTGGATGTAATTATGAAAAAAAAATAAAAGGGGTTAATCGTAAATAAACCTTACCTTAAGGGGGTGATTGTAATTTAACTTAAATAGTTTAGTAACAGCTACTTGACAGCTCACCAAGACCAAAAACACACACACACCGTCCTCCAACTTCGCCTGAAGCTTTTTTCCCTGTTTCTTGAAGCAATTTAATTTCTCTCACATAACACGTAATTTCGTTTTATATTTATTTTTAATTGAAAAAATCTGACATCCCAACTATCCAACTAACCTTTGCCATTTTTATTAAATATTATTAACAATTTGTTGGAAACATATTTTCTTGATTTTGGGCTCTGTTGATTCGTTGAAGGTGTGAAAAAAAATGAGGGATTGGAGATGGGTTTTTATTGTACTTTTGTATCTCGCGATTTCTTTAACAACTGAATCCTTTGAATTCCGTAGAACTCAACGTACTGAGAGAATCTCTGGTAAGATTCTTATTTTTCTGCATTCTTTCCATTTTTTTTTTTTGTATTTAATTTGGTGGGAAATTCGTGATTGGTTGCTTATGGGCTCATTTTTAATTTCATTTAATTGATTTGAGAAACTAGGAATTTTTTGGTGTTGGATTTACTTAAGGTATGAGATTGGTCTGGTTTTTGCCAAGAAAATGTAATAATGGATGACTTGCTTTGTCTGAAACTTGTGTGTGTGTGTGTGTGTGTGTGTGTGTGGAATCGTGGTGTGAAGATTGTAAATTTCCGATTTCCCCGATTTCGGGCCGAATCCCAATTTTGGAACAATAATTGCCATTCTGAATTCCGATTTTTTATTTTTCCGAAATTGTTTTTTCTCCAAAGATTGGAATTGCAATGCCAAAATTATTATGTATTTTGTATTTTAGGTTAATAGAAAATGGAATCTCCTGAGTTCGCGAAAAAAATCGATTTTGATTTTTGGAACAAGTGTTTTCATTCAAATTTCCGAAATCCGGTTATTATTTTTTTGGAACAGAATTGGAATTAGTTTTTCACTCCCGAAAAAAAAAAATCGGAATTTTTTCGAAAATGCTAATTCCAATGCGAATATCCGATCGATCTATCCGATTTCTACCCCTAAATATAGGCATAGAATTTTACTTCTTTCACCGGACTATTATAAGCCTGTCGGTGAAAAAACTCGGTTTCAAAATTTCATTCTTTTTTATTTTTATTTTAAATTTATTTTTAAATTTACAAGTGGGTACTCATTTATTTTCGTCCCACTTCGAAAAATTTCAGGTAGTGCAGGTGATGTATTGGAAGACAATCCAATCGGAAGATTAAAAGTGTTTATTTACGAGCTTCCAAGCAAATACAACAAAAAGATACTACAAAAAGATCCAAGATGCCTCACACATATGTTTGCAGCGGAGATTTACATGCACCGTTTCCTTTTATCGAGCCCCGTTCGAACACTTAACCCCGAAGAAGCCGATTGGTTTTACACTCCCGTTTATACGACTTGTGACCTAACCCCAAACGGCCTCCCTTTGCCGTTCAAATCGCCACGTATGATGAGAAGTGCCGTCCAATTAATTTCTTCCAACTGGCCTTATTGGAATCGAACCGAAGGTGCCGATCATTTCTTCATTGTGCCTCATGATTTTGGCCCGTGCTTTCACTATCAAGTAAGAAGTTTCGTCCCCGTTTTTTTTCTTCTCTTTATTCAAATGGATTTTTATTTGCGTTGCTAGGCTTGATTCGTCTTTTATTTTATTAATCATGGTTAATTTTCATTTGATTGCATGGTTGACGATTTTGATTTATTGTTGGCCCGTAGCATAATCGAGCTAGTTGATTTATAAATGGATCAAACCAAAAAAAAAAATTGATACGGTATGGTACCGTAATAGTATTTACACTACAAATATAATGACATATATAAAAAAAAATATTTGGTAATTTTAATTATTGCATTGACAAATTTGAAAAGTAGAAAATTATCATGTCTTCTAATTAGGGGTGAAAATGGGACGGATCCGATAGGAATTAGCACTTCCGGAAAAAAAATCATTTTTTTTTCTGGAAGTGAAAAACTAATTCCAAATCCGTTTTTGAATAATTTCGGAAAAATCGGAAATTGGAACAAATCCGAAATACATAATAATATTGATGTTTAAAGTGTAATTTTGGAAAATTATTTCAAAATGTTCGGAAATATTTTCGAAAACCAAAATCGGATGGGAATTCGGAACATAATATGTATTCCAACTTCGTTCAAAAAACAATTGAAAAATTATGAATCCATAACGAAAAATGTTGTTCCAAAATCGGAAATATTGGGGTCGGAATCAGTGAAATTCGGAAATTTTGATCCAATTTCCACATATTATTCCTTTATCGATCATGTATCATCTTCAGATATATAATTTGAGTGTCGACTGTCGACTAAAATAGGCAACTGAAATTCTCAATACTTAATAATGGGTATTTGCAGGAAGAGAAAGCTATAGAGAGAGGGATTCTTCCTTTGCTCGAACGGGCTACCTTGGTTCAAACTTTTGGACAGAAAAATCACGTTTGTCTGAAAGATGGATCAATCACGATTCCTCCATATGCTCCTCCTCAGAAAATGCAATCCCATTTAATTCCTCCAACCACTCCTCGCTCCATTTTCGTTTACTTTCGGGGCTTATTTTACGATGTTGGAAACGACCCTGAAGGTGGTTATTATGCAAGGTACGTCTATTAATCATTCAATGTTTTTCAAAAAGTCGAAAACTAAGTAGCACTTTCTATTGATTTTAGTTTCCATCTTGTTCAAATCTTAAAGAAATAATTTTTTTTTGGTTTATTTTCTGAATAAAATTCAATTATAATATAAATTTCGGAAATTTTTACAGAGGCGCACGAGCATCGATGTGGGAGAATTTCAAGGACAACCCATTATTCGATATCTCAACCGAGCACCCAACGACCTACTACGAAGACATGCAGAGAGCCGTCTTTTGCCTGTGCCCGCTCGGGTGGGCCCCGTGGAGTCCAAGATTGGTCGAAGCTGTAATATACGGTTGTATCCCTGTTATTATAGCCGACGACATCGTATTGCCGTTTGCCGATGCTATTCCGTGGGAAGACATTGGAGTTTTTGTCGCGGAAAAGGATGTACCTAATTTGGACACAATTCTTACATCAATTCATGTGGACGAGATATTGAGGAAGCAAAGAGTGCTTGCAAATCCTTCGATGAAACAGGCTATGTTGTTCCCACAGCCAGCTCAGCCGAGAGATGCTTTTCATCAGATCTTGAATGGGCTCGCTCGGAAGCTGCCCCATGGTAAGAGCGTGTACTTGCAATCGGGTGATAAGTTCTTGAACTGGACTGCGGGCCCCGTGGGGGACCTTAAACCATGGTAGATAATATATATATATACATTGTGATTGCTCTGGGAATTGCTATCATTCCACTTTATTTTTGTAGCAGGAACAATTTCTTATAAAAGAAAGGGTAAATTACAACCACCCCTGAGGTATGGTCAACTTACGAAAACCCCTCTTGTTTGGATAATTACATTTACCCCTCAACTATGAAACATGTTACACCTCCACTCTTATGATGTCAAATTCAACATAATCAGCTAGATTCCGTGAAATGTGCTTTAGTTTGTACTCGTTTTGTGTAAAAGTACATTTTCTGATGCATCACAATCTGATATATACAAACCAAAAAACATATCTTATAATCATCTTGCTTCAAAATATGGAGCTCGAATGTGATAAAACGGGTACAAAAGTGATAATATTCCATATAATCAAGAAGATTCCACTAAATTTGAAACCGCAAGGGCGGACGTATAAGAAAATTTGCAGTTGATGGATTGCTGTAATTACTCAATCAGGAAGGGGGTTTTCGTAATTTTACCATACCTCAGGGGTGGTTGTAATTTATCCTAAAAGAAAAGAAAATATCCTTCTGAGACACGAAAACTTCAAATTGTTGGGGTTTTCGTGCCCTAGAGAACGAAAACTTGGCAGATTCATTTTTATTTTTTAATTTTCGATCTCTTAAAACTACATTTGTTAACTAATTCGTAAATAAATTGATAGAAACGAAGTAAGTTACTAAAAATTACCGTAACCGAGAGTCGTAAGTGATGGATTGAATGCCTGGAGTTCGAAAGATTTTTGAATGTTTGAGAGAATTTGTGCGGATTAGAGAGATTTCGGAAGGGAAAAAGTTTCAAATGATTGAAATTCCGTTACGACCAGTAAAAGTTATTTAAATTGAAAAGACTGAAATTGTGATCTAAACTCGATGCAACGAACTTGAAGGGCCTCGTTTCCCCAACTTTGTTGTTCCTCTTGTATACCTTTAGCCGACTCGAAAAGCGATGCGCTACCTCCCTTGACCTCAATCAGTTGAAGCGTCGGAATTTCTCCAATAGCATCCGGAATCTCTCGTAGATGTTCACAATGACGAAGCAGTAGCCACTTAAGGCTCGGGAAGTGGTCGCTTTCAGTTATCCAATGCCTCAAATCTGAACTCTCAATTAGCAAAAATTCCAGCTCAGGAAATCCTCCGTCGCTAGTTTTCCATGCGTAGCCGCAGTAATTTCTCAATTTGAGCACTTGAAGATTCGGCAATGAACCGATACTCATCATAGTCGACTGCCAAGGAAGTGATTCGCCGCTCAAGGACAATTTTTTCAGCGTCTGCGGAAAGTTAAGGCTCTTATTCGGAAAAGATAGATTTGCACGCACGGTTAGCTTCAAATTCACAAGGTTTTGCAAATGCACGAGGTTCTCGAGGTGGTACTCTTGCTTATATTTGTCTTCCGAGTAAAAAATCCCCAACTTCTTAACGTTCGGGATCATTTTCATGATAGTTTCAGTACATTTCAGATTTCTCACTCTGGATAGCGTTTGCAGATTTAGCAGCGCACGTGTAATTTCGCTCTCCTGATGCGGATCCGGGAGTTGATCAAAATTGAAGCAGATAAGATGTCTTAGTTGTGGCATCCTCCAAATTTCCGACGGTAAACGTACCGTACTCGGGCGGTACCTAAATTTCGTCCCAAGATAAATGATCAAGGTTTGAAGGTTCTGGAGATTTGATACGGCACGTGGAATCTCAACGGCGTAGCTGAAAGCAAGGTACCTTAAATGAAACAACTCGAACACTTGAGGTGGGAGTGAAGCAACTTCTTCGCTGTCGAACATTCGCCTGTGGTTATAAGCAAATACCAAATCCAATACCCTAAGGAATCGAAAGTGTCTTAAACAGCCTAGTGAACTAATTTCACTATGCATCAAACACAAAATAGTACGGGTGGTTGAGCCGTAAATATTTTCAAGGAAACTTAAATTAGATTGGTCGATGCACACACGGCGTTGGTTTTTAACCATAGCATGTCGAAGAAACCTCTCTTGTTGCGATTTTCTTATGCACAATTCCCGCATCAGATCATGGAGTCTGCAACTTTTGATTTTTCCGTTGAACTTTCTCTTGGAGACTAAAACAAGACTTCTCTTCACAAGATCCTCCAAATACTCTTCTGCAGCTTCTTCGACGGTTTTAGATCCATTTGGATATTTCAAAAAACCCTCACCAACCCATAACCTGATGAGCTTCTGGACATGAATCTCTTGATCCTCTGGAAAAGCACCCATGTATAAGAAGCACGGCCTCAAATGATGAGGCAAGTGCGTGTAACTCAAAGACATTATCTTCTCTAATTGCCCGTGTTTCGTAGCATTAATAGCCGATTTCACATTTCCTGCAATTTTCTCCCACGAAGCTCGAGTTTTACTCACTGTGGAGAGAAGCCCCGCAATCACCACAATTGCAAGGGGTAGTCCTCTACAACTTCCTGCAATCTCCTTTCCAATCCCTTCCAATTCAAGAGGGCAAAGTGGTCCTTGTTCAAACACTCTGTGCCGAAGAAGATCCCAACTTTGATCGGCATTCATGAGTTGCATCTCGTGAAGAAGGCTAGAAGAATCGACATAAGCGGCCACATCTAATAGCCTCGTGGTCAACACGACCCGGCTTCCATTGTTTTCGTCGGGAAATATCATCCTTACATCGTCCCAAGCCTCTGTACTCCACACATCATCCATCACAATCAGATACTTCATACCCTTTAAGCATTTGTACACTTTTTCTTCATCGCTCTCTCCGCGGTATCTTTCCGTGTTGATTAATTCTTTCATGGAATCTACGAGGCTCGAAACAACCTTTTGCGGGCTATAATCTTGCGACACAGTTACCCAAGCACGAATCATGAAATTCTCGATAACTAACGGATCTTGATAAGCATTCGTAGCGAGAGTAGTCTTGCCAATACCTCCCATTCCAACAATTGGAATTACTTGGAGCTTCGACGACTCTCCACAAATCCGCTCCTTTATTGTTAATACATCTTCATCAAGACCAAAGACCGTGACAACATCTTTTTTTGGGGTACTTTGTGCAAGTCTTGACGATGAATCAACCGTCCCGATTTCTTTGATTACGAAGTACTTATTCTTGACGTTCATCGCCTCTTGAGCGATGGAATCGATTTTCTCCGTTAGTTTGTCCAAGTCGGATGCAAGTCTTGAATAATGGTGTACGGATTTCTCTTCGGATGGTCTTCGTCCACCACATGACGTGACGATTCCGCAAAGTAGCCGTCTTTGTTCCCACATGAAATATTCGATAGTATTTTCGGCTTGATTAGCTATGTACCTTATTTGTCCTTCCAAACTTTTGTTGTTGTTGTTGTTGGCCTTGTCCGGAAAATGTTCAAGAAAAGCTTGCAAGAAAAAAACGTATTCGTGGATGGCCGTAATCTGTTGTCTCTGATGATGTGAGAGTGAATAATTATCATGATTCAGGATTTGGTCTACTGTTTGTGCAAGTGAAACAAGAGCACCATAAGCCATCTCTAGTATGCACACCTCTTCTTTTTTCTTTTTTTTTTTTTTTTAGAGGAAAATTGGCTAGAGAGAGAGAGAGATTAAGAGAGGCAATTGATTAATTACTATCATAGACTTTCTCATACTCAAAACTAGTTTTTTTCAAAGTTTATGTCAAGAAAAGGGGTACATTTGTTTGACTTAATTAATTAAGAATTAATCTTCAACGTAATATAATATGGGACGGAGGGAGTAGATGTTATGTCGACACATTTAATACATGTTGATTAGTGCGAAGAAACTGACAGTATATTAGTTTAGAATAATTGCCAAAATGTAGTTGTTGGAGACTTCTTCAATTGTCCTATTTACTGAATTATTATCATAATCATTTAGAAAAAATAACACCATAAAGCTAAATAAGATTTAGTTATAAAAAGACTTATTATGAAATGAAACAATGATTGACAAATAACATCCTATGTAATTGTGTTTCTCTCTTAAATGAAAAATTACCTAGACCTTCCTTCTTAGATCGTTCCATTTACCCCGATACACCCTCCGTTCGATTTTTGGATGAAAATTGATGACTTCGTTAAATGAATTTAAGTGAACTCCCTATTTTATCCTTTTGACTGATGCTAACAATTCTAGTATCACTAAAATACCCTTATTTGTTTCATCCCTGATGGGATGTCAAAACAATAACATAAATTTAAAAGAGGGCATTTTGTAATATTTGAAAAAAATAAACCCCAGAACAGACAAACTTAAATATATATTTACAAATTAATAGGTCAATGAATGAAGATACATAATAAGTTTGATACAATTGCAACATAGGTAAAAGACAGTGATATAGCAAATAATAAATCCACCTTGAACTTCTTTTTTTTTTTTTTTTTTTTTTTTTTTTTCATTTTACAATTGTATTTTCCAAGTTTAAAGAAATGCTACTAACAAACTTACGAATGGTTCAATTGTAAACAAGTTAGATTACATCGATGAATCGATTAAGAAATAATTAGCTACACAAAGTTTCGGCACCGCAAACTCTTGAATATCAGCTAAACACTGCAAAAATGTTGCTCTTCTATTCTTCAAAAACTCGAACGCAGTGCTAAATAGATCGATTAACCGGCAGCGATCCTTCGTTTCTTGCACGTTCTTCTGATGGTGAATCAAATGCAACAGGAATTAACGTAAATCCAAAAACTTGCCGAATTTAGAAATTTATCTCGCGCCTCTCGGCAAAAAACTTGCCACTTATAGATTGATCTTGAAGAAGGGCAAGCCAAACTGCAGTATCGGCCCCTTCCTCGGGGCTAGTGTGACCCGCCCAGCCAGTCATAGCGGTCTTCACCCAACCCGGGCAGTAGCAATTGATGTATATCTTCTGACCTTCCGGAAGCTCTGAGAATATTCTCGCCATCAGCCTTGTGTAAGCGCTGACCGCTAATTTCGACAAAGAATAGTCCGTGAAAACTTGAGGCCATCCCCCGTTTTTCCATTTTCCGTCTTTTACTTGTTCTAAGAATGTGTTTACTGTCTGGTCGATTAAATCCTCGGATAGCGACTCATCGTCTTCCAGCTTTTTTCTTAATTCGATATTTCCAATTCTCTGCATGATCAAACAAAAACTTGGTAATTAATCTCGAATCAGTTTTGTGAGGTGTGAGGGGTTTAGTCAATAAGCAATATCAATGAAATATGAGGCAGTATTGCTCTTTCTAAGTTCAATTTCTGATGGGTACGAGGGTTTCTGACATTAAATCCCCAAATACGGATAAATGAAACCCTAGTTAATAAAGCATTTCTCTTGTAATAAAGCAACTATTTTACCTTTCTTTTTTTTTTTCCTTTTCAAACCAAATAAACACCCTCATATGTGTAAAAGAGCACCGAAAAGCATAATAATGGGAGATAAAACGGAATAAGTAAACCTCTTACATTTCGCCGACCGTTCAATCTTCCTAATCTTGAACTCACGTTAACAATACGAGCACCTGTTTCTGAAGGTCTCATTAACGGTATCATGGCTTTGATAATGTTTTTGGTCCCAAAGTAATTGGTAGCAACAACTTGTTCTGCAAATTCGACAGAATTGTCTGATCCGACATTGTAATTTACTCCTGCATTGTTTACCTACACATTTTTACGTATGGTCAATGGAAGTTCGAAAAAGAACCAAAAAAAAAAGCGTAATATATTCGTAAAAAAAAATCTGAAAATTCTTGATTTAATTATGCAAAAGAATTTCTTTTTCGGTTTTGGAAGCAAAAAGATATTGTAATAAATAACAATTACGGAGAAGCCATAGTAGTACCAATATATCAATACCACCATAAATTTCCTTTATCGATTCAGTAAACGCTTCGATCGATGAAGGATCCACAATATCTAGTCGATGGAACACCACACTGAGACCTCGTTCTTGTAAGACCTTTGCTGCTTCTTCTCCAACAACAGCGTCTCGAGAGGTGAGAATAACTGTTAATCCATGCAACGCAAGTTGATGTGCAATTTCAAATCCGATTCCCCTGTTAGCACCAGTCACCACTGCAATAGTGCTCGAGGTCCACCATCTGAAGGAGTATATAATTAATAATAAAATATTCGTCCAACATCAATCATTGGGGGAATTGTGAAACCAAACGGAGCAGCTATAACGATGTTGAATTGTATGAAAAAAACAAATTATTTTATTCATCTCAAATTCAAAAGAACATATATTTCTGCTATCTCAATAAAAAAAAAAAAAAAAAACTTTAGACTTTCGGAGGAGGACCGACGTGGATAAAATGACATTAGACATTTTATATAGCCTCTAAAATCTTATGTACCTACCTTGTCTTAAACTCGGGGAATTTATTTCTAATCGTGCAATATATTCTAAAATATGAGTTCATCTTTTTTTAAAGAGCCGCATATACGTTGAACAACCACTTCATCTAAACGCCCAATTTAGTGAAGTCTTGCACATGGAAATATTTGAACGGGTGGTGGTGGGATTCGAATATATGACCTTTTCATTTGACCATGGCTCGGCTCGGATACATGGTGAATTATTCGATATAAATATCTCCAATAATATGAAGTTTCGAAAGGAATTTCGGAGGTAAACCCTAAAGGATGAAGACAAGAGTCACCAAATGTAAATGACTGCTATACAACTGAAAAACTTAATACAGAGTTGAAGCAGTAATTTTTCGAAAGCCAAAAAGATAGCAAAATATGGTAAAAATCAACAACATTTATCACAGGAACAAAAGATCAATAACTCAGTAAAAAGTTGAAATCAGGAAAATTTCAACAGTAGAAGATGATTAAACAATTCTGCGGTTGCCCTAATTGCAATTTTCATTTGAACTTACAGCCAAAAAAAAATATTGAAACCAATTCCAGAAAAAAACGACAACAAAATCAAATTAATTGGGTTTTACCTCTGGTGGTCGGAATAGGGAATCGTACGGACGAGAGAGATCTCTTGGCGCCTCTTCTCTCTTCTCTCTTTCGCCCTCGCTCTTTTGTCCATAAATGGGATTGTTCACTGGTTCAGGTGTACTATTTCACTTGTGTTTTGCTCTCTCTCTCTCTCTCTCCTCTTTCTTCTGCTGCGCTGAAGGTATAGAGAGAGAGAGTAGTGTGATGGATCGGGTCGTTGCCCGGTAAAGATGGGTCGGGTCGGGTCGGGTCCTATCAATCAGTCCCGGTCAATGTTTGGACCCCCTTTCCAATCCGGGTCAAGATAACTAATTAATATGGTAATCCGTAGATTTTCAGTATCGTCACGTAATAATATATTGTTAAATCAATGTAAAAGTATAATTGAGGGAAAATTATAATTGTCACCCCTCAAGTTTGCATAAATTTCATATTTAGTCCTCCATGTTCACAAAAGACATATTTGGTCCCTCATATTTCAATAATTTAACATTTTTTGTCATTTCAATAATTAACCGTTGGTTCGTCAGTTAAGGTAGTCATGGGCACACCCTTGATTCTGTTAGTACTAACGAAAAATTGATGAAAATGACCAAAAATGTTAAATTATTGAAGCATGAGGGACCAAATATATCTTTTGTAAATATAAATGATCAAATGTAAAATCAATACAAACTTGAGGGATGAAGACTATATTTTTTCCGCATAATTGTCTATTGAATATTGCTTAATGGGTATTCTTGGATGATGACGAACACCTTAATTATTGGAGTTAATTGCAAATACCACCCCTGTGAAATCTCTAATTGTCAAATACCCCCCTGTCAAAAAACAATTCGCTCATACCCCCCTGTGTAAACAAAGTCAAGGCATTGAGACCCCTGAGAGCAAATCGTGTCTCTCACGCGCTACTGCTGCGATTTCTTCTCAATTTTCGACTGTGAAATATCAAAAATGTCCCCAGCTCATTTTCCTTCCCTCTTCTTCATTCTTCATCGTCCCCATTCTTCATCGTCCCCTGCTGCCCACCGCTTCACCTCCGCCGCGAAATGGGGCGCCCCCAATTGGGAGAAGCGAGTGCAAACCTCGGCCCATCCCCACTCCAATTCTCCCTCATACTTCAACAACAACATCGCCGGACCCGCCACCATTTTTAGACCTGCAAAAGCGCAATACACAACCATCTACAGACCCTTTATCAGAAATCAACAAAATCGATCAAGCCGCGAGCTTCTACGCCGCCACCAAAAAAATCGGAGCTTGAAGAAGCCCAAACAATTGATGGAACGCTGGGCAAGATCAACAAAATAAGAAGCTTCGGCTTGGGGTAAAATGAAAAGGTGTTATTGTTGTGCTTCTCGACCAAGGAATAGCGGGACAGGAAAGAACATGTGCCAAATATGGATGGGTGTGGTGGTTCGTGGTGAGCGGCGACGGTGAATGATAAGTATGGTGAAAATTGAGAGGAAGAGTGGGGATTTGGAGCTGCGGCTGGGCATAGTTGCAGAAAAATGAATGGGTTTTGGAAAATTGCAATTTAGTCCCCTAAATTAAATTTTAAAAGTTTAACAAAATTCCAATTTAGCCTCTTAAATTAATATAATTTTATGTTATACTACTTAGGGGTACACTTGTCTTTTTACCTTCGGTCAACCATTAAAATGGTAATGGGTGCGGTGAGCTTCGAAAAGTATTACACAAGGGGGTATTTGCGAATTTTTTTTTGATAGGGGGATATTTGACAATTAGAGATTTCACAGGGGTGGTATTTGCAATTAACCCTAATTATTGATTGAACTGAATTATACTGTAGTGTCCCTAGTCCCTACCATCTTAATTTGCATTCTCTATTTTTTAAAAGGATATAAAATGAGCTAATAGTTTCTTAGTTACGAAAATCTATGTTGCAAGGACACGGAAATGATGATATGGGAAAACAGGTAAACGGACATAAGGAAGCGGCATGTTCCAAAAATAGGGAAAATGTATAATATATTAAAAGTATAGGTGTGTATTTATAAATATGATATATAAACATACATAAGACTTTATTTATATATAATTTTCTTAATATATTTTCGTACAAACATGTTTAAAATAATTCACCATCAACTATCAATTTGCAATTGATCATTAAATCATATAAATAATTAAGGAAGCAACAAAAATATTTCATTATTTCTCATTCAAACATATTTTTAAGAAATTGTAAAATGGCCCATATGGTGTTCGGCAAATATCGTTGGACACAAAATATATCAAAACACAGAAATGTTATAACTTATGAAGTTGAAGTTTTCGTGTTACAAAAGTTTTCAATTTTAAAGAAGAAAATTAGAAGAAGAAAAAACTCTAGGAAATAGTACCTATCAATGTGTTTATTTCGTCTACGCAATTTGTTTCTTGAAAATGGGAGGCTCCTTTTTGTAACATACATCTGTCTGCAATTCTTAGGCCAATTCTTCACAAGTACAGAGTATATCTTTAATTTTTCAACTTAACGAACATCTTATAATCATTCCTAACTTTGCAACTACTTAACTAATTCCTTGTTTTAGCACCCCCACCTTTTTTTATTTTAATTTTTAATTAATTTAACTAGTATTATTTCTTTTCGAATTCTTGTATGTGTACACACATATATGAATAATATATGTGCAACATAAAAAAAGAAATGCATGCATATTGTAAAACGCAAATTTTCGAATCAGTAAAATGTAAATAAACACGAGACAGGAAAATAGCGAACAAATAAGTTCATTATTCAAACGAAAATGGATTACAGTCTTTGGGGATTCCCCTGATTCTTATATATATATATATATCCTATGCTAAAATCGATTCAGGTGCTTAAAAGCTTGTTCTTGAACCGAATAAGTATAAACAACTCGAATTCAAATATATTATGAATTCGAGACGGAAACTCAAGACTTGAGCTGGAGAGCTCGTATATGTCTATGTGAGTTTGTCTTTACATGCACCGAAGCTCTCTTTTTATAGCTACGAGCAAGAATTACTTGACTTATAAAATAGGCCAGACATTCTAATTTCTAGAACTTAATTACATCTTCGCAAAACTTTAATGTGAACCTCAAATGAAGAAGCATGTAGATTAATGAACAAAAGAGAAATAGAAACACACATATTCAAAAAATAAGTAGGTGAAAATATCGGGGTTTCGAAGGCAGCGGCCCCAAATATTTTTAATTTCAAAAAATTGTTAAAATAAGTAAATATTTATAGATTTTAATCAAAAGAATATAAAATTTTAGTATATTAATTCCATATTGTGTAGTAACTAAAAAAATCACATAAAAGTGTGACACCATTTAAAAAAAATATAAGGGGGGAAATAAATATTTAATTACATAGTATATAAAAGTTTTTTAAAAAATAAAAAATAAATAAAAATCCTAGGCGGTGACGACAGCCCAGTTGGTGCCAATTAATGCATGTATATGGCTATGGCTGTTATAAGTTCCTTTGTCAACCAAATTACGTAACTCAACACCCAATTTTGCTTTTAAATGCAACATCATATTCATATATATCAAATCATTCAAACATTTCATATATATACTTTCATTAATAATAACAAGATTTTTATTTTTTATTTGTTTGAAAAAATGGCTGATTATTCATGCATATTAATCTCCGGCCTGCTGCTGTTCTTATTACTACAAAGTTCACAATCAGAATCCAACGTAAAAAATTCAAATAATAATAATTATAAGAATAATAATGTAGTTAAAACAGAGGTGTTTCTCTCACCTAAGTTCGTGTTGGCGCCGGGATTAGTCTCCAACAAATACTACTACAACATCGATTTCCCACGTGGCCACATCGCAATCAAGAGCTTCAACGCCGAAATCGTCGACGAAAACGGTAACCCGATCCCCCTGCACGAGACCTACCTCCATCATTGGGTTCTCCAACGATACTACCATCAAATCAACGGCTCGGATTTCATCCTCGTCAAAAACAGCGGCCTCTGCGGCACGGGGCTCACGCAGTACTTCGGATTGGGTGCGGAAACTCGAAAGACGGAGACGCACATCCCCGATCCGTACGGGATCGAAGCGGGGGGGAATATCCCGGCGGCCGGGTACGAAGAGGGGTGGTTCCTCAACGTGCATGCGATCGACACTAGGGGGGCCCACGACCGGCTGGCGTGCACGGAGTGCGGGTGCGATTTGTACAACGTGACGGTGGACGAATACGGCGTGACTGTGCCGCGGGAGTATAAAGGTGGGGTGAGGTGTTGCCATGACGGGACTCGATGCCCCGTCAGAGAAGGAATATTCTTCTCGGGTGTGGCCGAGAGAAGTTTGTACTTGAGGTATACGGTGAAGTATGTTGAGTGGAACCCATTGATTGTGCCGGTTAAGATTTATATACTCGATGTCAGTGATGTGTGGACCACGGTCGATGGATCTAGAGGGAGCGCCGAGACGCACAATTGTGTGGTAATTCATGATTACAAGTTAAACCTCTATAAATAATTAATACATAAATAATTAATACAGTACGAACTAGAGAAATTCTATTAATTTAGTGAATTATTAAATTATCAAGTTAATAATTCAACATGTTTTTACTAAGTCGGGACCGAGAAAAACTATTATTTAATTGAGGGTATTAACTTATCGAGGTTCTACTACAATTTTAATAATCTTGAATGAAATGTTTTATTGCTTGCACATATATAGGGAAGCTTGTTCTGGTAGTCTTGATTTCATCTTATGTAACATATATTTGACCTTCGATTTATGTCTCGTTTAGATTAAATAAGAAATAGGTTTTGTTTTTAATGTAGGTCGAATATGATATCGAGCCTTGTCCGAATAGTGTGGCAAACGACGGATGCGTTCACACGAAAACGCTGAGTGCGAGTTTGCCGAGTGGCGGCGATGTTATCTATGGAGTTGGACACCAACATGCTGGAGCAACTGGCATTGCTCTGTATGGAGAGGTACTAATTTTAAACATTAATTAATTTTTACACCTTTTTAATTTCTCTTACCTCAAATTAATTAATAGTCGTCATGAGTTTTCTCTGTTTATTTTTGAAATCATTTTCAAATTTTACAAAATCACAATTGGAAATTTTGAAAATCGAAACGAAATAATCGTTGTAAAGTAGAAAAGTTTCGCATCATAATCGACAGAATTCAGAAATTCTACCAGATACCGTTATTTTATTTCACAAATCATTTAAAATTATTGAAGGGAGGAAGATTGATATGCTGGTCGAATCCAATTTACGGGACGGGGGAGGAAGCTGGAAACGAGGCCGGTTACGTAGTGGGAATGTCGACATGTTACCCGACACCTGGATCACTAAAGATTTCTTCTGGGGAGAAACTCACTCTTGTATCCAACTATAGCAATGCACAAAGTCACACCGGGGTTATGGGTTTCTTTTACCTCTTAATCGCCGACTCATCGCCAAAATCGAACCCTCTTCGCCTCTATGCTCCATCCGATGAAGTAAGATCGCACCGCACCCTCTTGTTTGAATTCTAATTTTCTTGTATAAGATAGCAAACACATACTTTTTTCAATTTTTTTCGTACGTCATTTATGTCATTTAGGTAAATATATAGTGACAACCGTTCATTTGCACGTGATTCGTGAAAAATCTAATTAATTTTGGCGAAGAAGACGAAAAATTGAGAACGAAACAAAGACGAGTGCGATTAAAAAAAAAAGACATAAAACTAGTAGTATATTTGTGGCATGTTTGAGGTGATTCGAGTTTTATCGATGTGCTCGTTTCGTTTTTGCAGGTGTGGAAGAATGCGAAGCTGTCCGATTTCGTTTGGCCTATTGTTGTACTCGGAGTTGTTGTTGTTGCTGCAGTTGTTGTCTTCGTGGTGTTGAAGGGTCGGAGTGGAAGAGGAGAAGACTACGAAGCTATGTTATAACTTATAAGCTAAGCATTGTTTGTGTTCATTTAAAATTAGCAAAAAGAACTTGTCAAAACTTGTAAGTGTTGGATTATATACTCATATGTCATAAGTGTGAAATTTGAATTTAAGTAGGCGAATCGGAAAGGAAATAGTTAAGAGTTTATCGACTTCTAAAATATATTGTCAAATTTATGAGTGTACAAAATGTTTTAAATAAGTTTAGCCAAACGGATCCTTAATATTAAATTTCTTGTCGCTAACCGCTTGTCGAAATAATGAATGGAATGTGAATACATGTTTCCGTCTATCGTCTATCGCAAATGAAACTTGCATTTGGAATATCACTTGGCGTCTCGACCATCACCCTCCTCCTCCACCCCGACATGTTGCAAGGAACCCCTTCCTTCATTTCCAACTTACATGATCTCTTAGACAAGTTTCTAAACAACAACAAATAATCGAAAATTAACACTTCTGTAAAAAATTCGATTAAAAAATTGAAATAAGAAAAGAAAATTGAATTTTTAAATTAGAATTAACAAAATTTGTTCGAGGATTACTATTTTTTAGAACGAAATTGGCGAAAATCAAAAGTTTCATCTTTTTATTTGCATACGAAATCGAAATCATCTATTATCAACACACTCTTATAGATGCTATCAATTTTTGATGAAAATTTTGTTTAATAACTCTATATATGCAAGTCTAAATAATTACATATTCGTCGAACTTTATCCAATATAACGTAATACCAACACTTCACTCAAATTTTCGAGATAGCATAGTTAATATAATATATGGATTATGTATTTTCTTCCAATCATCTACACAAATATTGCAAATCTAAATAAATTATTGCAAATCTAGTGCAATTTATGATAAAAGGTTTCACAATTTCTATGAATCAAAAATATTAATTAAAGAAAAAAAGAAAAGGAAGATCGAGTCAACGTAAACGGGTCGACCCGTAATCCCGAACGGCTCTGATTCACCGTGCATCACAGCCAATGCGGATCTTTCTGCTGGAGCTCGTCACTCCTTGCCACGCGGCGCAACCTCATTGGTCCAGTTCACGTGTTAGTAAATATGATTGGTCGAAACAACACAACTCCCAATTTGCACTCTCAGATCTATAAATATAACCCATTGAAACGCTCTCATTTGATAGAAAAAGTATTCATCACTACACAGTACTTTCTCTCTCATCCCTCTCTCTCTCTCTAGAGTTTCTTCTCCTCTCCATCAGATCCGTATAAATTTGAACTCGTCAACGTTTTACATTTTCATATCGTGATTTTTTCATCTCTGGTTTTTTTTTTTTGGAGTGTTGGATTTACAAATGGAGGATCCGAATCGGAAGATTTGGATAATGCAGTATCTGCTGCTGTTATCGGCCGCGTGCTTCATTTCTCAGCTCTACGCTTCCGATGATGTGGTATGATTTTTTATTTTTGATTTTTGATTTTTATTTCTCAATATTGTTCGATTTGTGACTCGTTTAGTTCGGTTTTAAAAAAAAAATCAATTCTTTTTTCCAGATCTGAGGTTCTTAATTTGTGTTGTTTATTTTACCGTTTTGATGTTTGTAGCAATTGTACGAGTCGTTCGATGATAATTTCGAGGGGAGATGGATTGTGTCAGAAAAGCAGGATTACACAGGTCAGTTTTATTGAATTTATACGAGTTAATCTTTCTGTCACTTGTTTATGTACTGATTTCAGTCTCAGTTCCGAAAATAACCATGGCTGATTATATTTTTCATAAATAGTTACATGCTGTGGTTATATATTTCTTGTATTCAGTGTAATTTCAGTGGGTAGCTTTATATAAATGTATTGAATTAATGGCTGCTGTAGATCTGTTTGCGCCTATGTGTTGAATTTTTCAAAATTAACTCGAATTAGAAAAATGTGAGTCCGATTCAGTTCTTCTCAGATCACTGTAATTTGTACAGTATGAAAACAAACACCGTTAATTGACATGATCACAACATCTGCAGATTTAACTGTTGGTTTAAATTGGTTCCATGTAATGTTGGTGTATGCTAGAATGATCGAAATTCCATTTAGCTCTTTCGTATTTGAAAAAAGTGATGATAAATGCATTTGTTATTGATAGTTACTTTCAGTAGTGGTGATTGCAGTACATTTGCATACATAAATCACTGGTTGAGAAGAATGGGTGATCTATGCATTGTTATTTGATAGTTACTTCTAGAAGAACTGGTTTTTGAAAGTACCATTTTGTTCATTTCTGATCACAGGTGTGTGGAAACACGAAAAGAGCGAAGGACACGATGACTATGGACTTG